GTTGTGGTAGTCAGAGCCGTACTGGTAAAAGTGTTAGTAGTATTAGAAAGTGGTAGTAATCGTCGTAGTAGTAGTAATGATCGCAGTAGTACTCGTAGTCGTAGTCGTAGTATTCGAAGTAGTAGTCATTGTGGTCGTTGTAGTAGTAGTAATAGTAGTAGTTGTTGTAGTGGTAACAGTCGTAGTTGTAACATCGTACTACTAGTAGTAATGGTAGTACTAGTCGTAGTCGACGCGGGAGTACTTGTAGTAGTAGAAGTAGTCGTAAAAGTAGTGGTCGTCGTCGTGGTCGTAATGGTGCTGGTAGTAGCAGCAACAGTCGTAGTCGCAGTAGAAGTCGTAGTAGTGGTAGTAGCCGTGGCAGCCGTAGAAGACGATGGCGTAGTAGTAGTATTAGTAGTAGTAGTAGTCGTAGTAGAAGTAGAAGTAGTAGCAGACGTAGTAGCAGCAGTAGTAGCAGCAGTAGTAGTAGTAACGGTGGTATCAGGATCAGTAATAGAAAATAGTAGTAGTAGTAGTAGTAGTAATAGAAATATTAGTAGTAGTAGTAGTAGCAATAATAGTAGTAGTAGTAGTAGTAAAAGTAGTAGTAGTAGTAGTCGTGATGGTAGTAGTAGTAGTAGTAGTAGTAGTAGTAGTAGTACTAGTAGTAGCAGTCGCAGTAGAAGTCATAGTTGTAGTCGTAGTTATGATAGTAGTAGTAGTAGTAGTAGTAGCAGTAGTAGTAGTACTAGTAGTAGTAGAAGTAGTCGTCGTAGTAATCGTAGTAGCAGAAGTAGTAGTAGTAGTAGTAGTAGTAGTAGTAGTAGTAGTAGTAGTAGTAGTAGTAGCAGTATTAGGTGTAGTAATAGTAGCCGTAGTGCGAGTAGTCGCAATAGCAGAAGAGGTCGCCGTACGAATCGTAAGAGTAGAAGTAGTAGGCGTAGTAGCAGGTGTAGTCGTAGTAGCAGCGGTAGTAGTAGTAGTAGTAGTAGTAGTAGTAGTAGTCGTAGTCGTAGTCGTAGTAGTAATAGTAGTAGTAGTAGTATTAGTACGTAGTCGTAGTAGGTAGTAGTAGTAGTAGTAGTAGTAGTAGTATAGTAGTAGTAGTAATAGTAGTAGTATAGTAGTAGTAGTAGTAACATGTAGTAGTAGCAGTAGTAGTAGCAGTAGTAGTATCGTAGTAGTAGTAGCCGTCGTAGTAGTGGTAGTAGTAAGTAGTAGTGTAGTAGTAGTGTAGTGTAGTGGTAGTGGTAGTGGTAGTAGTAGTAGTAGTAGTGGTAGTAGTAGTAGTAGTAGTAGTAGTAGTGGTAGTAGTAGTAGTAGTAGTAGTACTACTACTACTACTAGTAATAGTAATAGTAATAGTTATAGTTAATAGTACTCGTACTAGTAAAAGGGCGGGGGGCGGAGGAGAAGGAAGAGGACGACGAGTGGTTGTCGTAGTCCGCCGGCCCCCTTGTGGGTCCACCAGGCTGTAGGCACGTGATTCGCAGTTTCCTGTACCAGTTGTAGCTTGTAGTTTCCAGTGTTACAGTTCTGCTTCTCGCAGGTTGCTGTAACTAGTTGATTGACCGCGCGAGGGGGTGGGAAGTCCAAACGGGATTTTTATCGTCTCCTGGGCGCGTTGTCTGAATTGCTGGGGGGGCTCGAAATCGACACCCCTCACGCAGATCCGCGGGGTCAGGGTCCAAAAACACAAGGGATTTGCCACATTTCTGAAATTCGGTGCCACCCCTCACGCAGATCCGCGGGTCAGGGTCCAAAAACACAGGGATTTGCCACATTTCTGAAATTCGGTGCCACCCCTCACGCAGATCCGCGGGGTCAGGGTCCAAAAACACAGGGATTTGCCACATTTCTGAAATTCGGTGCCACCCCTCACGCAGATCCGCGGGGTCAGGGTCCAAAAACACAGGGGATTTGCCACATTTCTGAAATTCGGTGCCACCCCTCACGCAGATCTGCGGGGTCAGGGTCCAAAAACACATGGGATTTGCCACATTTCTGAAATTCGGTGCCACCCCTCACGCACATCCGCGGGGTCAGGGTCCAAAAACACATGGGATTTGCCACATTTCTGAAATTCGGTGCCACCCCTCACGCAGATCCGCGGGGTCAGGGTCCAAAAACACAAGGGATTTGCCAAATTTCTGAAATTCGGTGCCACCCCTCACGCAGATCCGCGGGGTCAGGGTCCAAAAACACATGGGATTTGCCACATTTCTGAAATTCGGTGCCACCCTTCACGCACATCCATCGCAAGGCGTGGTAACCCAAACTGCGAGAACTCCCTCGGCCCTTTAATCGCAAGGTGTGGTAACCAAGCCCGTAAACCATACACGTCTTACCAATCGCCAGGTGTGGTAACCCCTCTTGTGATCAGTTGGTTTTGCTGATTGCGAATCGGCTTCGCATGAAGTTTCGATACTGCTTCACGACAGCGCCAAGGCCTCATGACTTAGCTCTTCCATGGCCCATTCTCCGAGAGAGGGGGCCGGCGGCAGGGGGCGAAGCCCTTACGGATAATAATGACCAGTATACTAGTACAACTACTCGTGGTGATGGTAGTGGTGGTGTTGTCAATAGTACTGGAGGGGTGGTGATGGTGGTAATAAGAATACCGATCGTAGACACATGCTATACATAACATTACCCTGGCGACGTACCCAACCCTTGCGCAATGTGGGGCATAAGTACATCAGGATTGCTACAACGGGGGGCGATGACGTAACATGAACGCATGTGATTTCGCGAGCAGCAATCGGAAGGCTCGCAGGCCCCCGATCAGGATCTATGGGCTACGTTATAACAAATCACCCCCGTTGGCTGTGCCATGCGCCCGTTGCACCCAACGTATCCCACAGCAGCTCTTGAGAGCCCCCGCGGAATACGTGCAGGCGCAGCGTTAAGGCCATCGCCCGGCAGATGGCCTGTTTCACAAATCACCCCCCTTGGCTGTGCCATGCGCCCGTTGCGCCTAACGTATCCCGCAGCAGCTCTCCAGAGCCCCACCCAGGGACGGCGAGGTCCCGCTCAGATCCCTGCGGTGCCTCACTCCGCAGGACCCACCAGCAGCCCTAGAAAGTGGCGACACTGTCGCAGATCTCAGCCCCCCAGGGACGGCGAGGTCCCGCTCAGATCCCCGCGGTGTCTCACCCCGCAGGACCCACCAGCAGCCCTCGAAAGTGGCGACAGTGTTGCAAATCGCAGCCCCCCAGGGACGGCGAGGTCCCGCTCAGATCCCCGCGGTGCCCCACTCCGCAGGACCCACCAGCAGCCCTCGAAAGTGGCGACAATGTCGCAGATCGCAGCCCCCCAGTGACGGCGAGGTCCCGCTCAGATCCCCGCGGTTCCCCAATCCGCAGGACCCACCAGCAGCCCTCGAAAGTGGCGACAATGTCGCAGATCGCAGACCCCCAGGGACGGCGAGGTCCCGCTCAGATCCCCGCGGTGCCTCACCCCGCAGGACCCACCAGCAGCTAACGAAAGTGGCGACAATGTCGCAGATCGCAGCCCCCCCAGGGGCGGCGAGGTACCGCTCAGATCCCCGCGGTGCCTCACTCCGCAGGACCCACCAGCAGCCCTCGAAAATGGCGACCGTTTCGCAAATCGCAGCCCCCCAGGGACGCGAAGTCCCGCTCAGATCCCCGCGGTGCCTCACTCCGCAGGACCCAGCACCAGCCCTCGAACGTAGCGCCAATGTCGCAGATCGCACCCCCCCAGGGGCGGCGAGGTCCCGCTCAGATCCCCGCGGTGCCTCACTCCGCAGGACCCACCAGCAGCCCACGAAAATGGCGATAGTGTTGCAGATCGCAGCCCCCCAGGGACGGCGAGGTCCCGCTCAGATCCCCGCGGTGCCTCACCCCACCAGCAGCCCTCGAAAGTGGCGACAATGTCGCAGATCGCAGCCCCCCAGGCACGGCGAGGTCCCGCTCAGATCCCCGCGGTGCCATACTCCGCAGGACCCACCAGCAGCCCTCGAAAATGGCGACAATTTCGCAGATCGCACCCCCCCAGAGACGGCGAGGTCCCGCTCAGATCCCCGCGGCGCCTCACTCCGCAGGACCCACCAGCAGCCCTCGTAAGCGGCGACAGTGCCGCAGATCGCAGCCCCCAAAGGACGTCGAGGTCCCGCTCAGATCCCTGCGGTGCCTCACAGGACCCACCAGCAGCCCTCGAAAATGGCGACATTGTCGCAGATCGCAGCCCCCCAGTGACGGCGAGGTCCCGCTCAGATCCCCGCGGTGCCTCACTCCGCAGGACCCACCAGCAGCCCCCCGAAGGTGGCGACAATGTCGCAGATCGCAGCCCCCCAGGGGCGGCGAGGTCCCGCTCAGATCCCCGCGGTGCCTCACTCTGCAGGACCCACCAGCAGCCCTCGAAAGTGGCGACCGTTTCGCAGATCGTAACCCCCCAGGGGCGGCGAGGTCCCGCTCAGATCCCCGCGGCGCCTCACTCCGCAGGACCCACCAGCAGCCCTCGAAAGTGGCGACAATGTCGCAGATCGCAGCCCCCCAGGGGCGGCGAGGTCCCGCTCAGATCCCCGCGGTGTCTCACCCCGCAGGACCCACCAGCAGCCCTCGAAAATGGCGACAGTGTTGCAGATCGCAGCCCCCCAGCCCCCAGGGACGGCGAGATCCCGCTCAGATCCCCGCGGTGCCCCACTCCGCAGGACCCACCAGCAGCCCTCGAAAGTGGCGACAATGTCGCAGACCGCAGCCCCCCAGGGGCGGCGAGGTCCCGCTCAGATCCCCGCGGTGCCTCACTCTGCAGGACCCACCAGCAGCCCCCCGAAGGTGGCGACAGTTTCGCAGATCGCAGCCCCCCAGCGACGACGAAGAGAGGGCAGGAGGCGAGAGGAGGCGGGAGGCGGGAGGAGGAGGGACGCGACCACAGTGCTCTATTCAAAACGAATACCCAACCAAGGAGGGTTGGGAATAAGTATATGGAGTGCCTCGGTGGCGTAATTGTTGTGACCCGAGGGGGTCAGGGAACGTTTCCCCTGACGACCACTCCAGGGCGCCGTGGGAACGCAGCGTGCTGGCGCCCGCGGGCACGAGGGTGCCGGGTGCCTCTGCGCGGGTCTGCTCCAGGAGCTGCTGGTGGAGCTCCAGGTAGCGGTCCACGTCTTGCGGCTCCTGCAGCCAAGGGCACGATACCGACACGGAAAAGACATTGGATAAGGTGCCATTCGATAACAGACCCCGGAAGCGGGTGGAAACTCAATCGTGGATGTGCTATGGACATCACTGCCACCTCATCAGAGAAGGAGTCCCCAACAGTCTGAAGCCTTCTGGGCAAGTTCCTTAACAAACGCCCCCACCGTGCCGCTGCTCGTCCTGGAGAGCTCTCGTAGCAATGTGGTGAGGGCTTGGGTTGCGCGCAGACACCCCCCCCAGGTAGTCCTGGCTGGCCTCAGCAGGCCCCCGAGAATCCCAGGGGTCTCAACACCTCGACTCCTGGGGCCTAAGGGGTGCCGCCGGAGGCGGCGCCAGTGTGTTGAGACCGCCCTGGCCTACTCGCGGGGAACCTGTTGACGCCAGCCTGGACTACCTGTGGGGGCTGTCTGTGCGCAAACCACAACCTTCCCATCGTCGCCGCCACGGCTGGATTTTCTTCGGACAAGTTGTCAGGACGCCCCCCCGGGAGCAAGCATCGGTGCCTGTTTGGCTCCCCACTCCTGGCACTCTCCGGAGAGGAGTCTGGCGATGGCCGAAGAAGAAAAGACGGCACAAGCATGCATACCCGTCGGACGGCAGAAGTGGGTAGAAACATGAAGTAGGATGGCGTTGGAAGTAGCTTGGGCTTCCGCCCGCCCCCTGAAGGAGGGAAGAGGTAGGACCAGTCCACTCTTGAAGTGGGGAGGCGTCTAAAGTAGATTGGACCCTGGGAATCCCCAAATACCTACTTTCAACGACTGGCGTGTACTTTCGAAGGTCCGCTCGGATTTCTTGGACCTGCGAAGGGCCCCTGCGGGGGCGCCTCCGGCGCTGTTAGGCCCTGGCTCACGCTCCGCGCCCCAGGGAGGAAGGTACGGCGCCGATCCAAGAAAGCCATGCGGGCTGTCGAAAACTTGCGGCTACAGGCTTTTGCTTGGCGTGTCGCCGAGGCGGGCCTGGCGGCACGCGATGCCCTCCGAGCGGATATCGTGCCGCCCCGTCTCGCGGGGCGGGAGGCTGGCAAGAGCTCGGGATGTTGACGCCTGGAGTGGGAACGTGGCCAGCCTGTTGCGCCGAGGCGCGGTGGGTTGGAATACTGCGAAACAGTAGGACATCGTCAGAACTCACGACCAGAGCCCTAGACCCAGTCTTCCTGCGGCACCTCTGCGTCCACATCGACCCGTGGTGGTCCGGGGGCGCGAACCTGGGCAAAAGCCCCTGCCGCGCCAAACATGCAACGCCTGGGTCTCAGGGAAGCACACGTTGCCGACCACATGTTTGAGCCGTCGTTTCTTCTTCTGGATGGCCCCGTTGTGGCCGCCGCCCCCGACGAAGAGCATCTCGTCCCCGGGAGCCACAGCGGCGAACGCCAGCGCGCCGGGGCCTTTCGCCTCCTCGTAAGGCCTCGTATAGGGGTCTCCTTGGTCCCCCGCGCGCGCGCGGGCGGGCGGAAGTGGATGACGTCCCCACGCCCTCTCGTCGCGAAAGAGATCTCGGGCGCGGCCTGGACCGACCCCTAGCAAACCATCCCCCTTCATGACGTCATCGTCGCCTTTCAGGCTCCCCTTCGGCCGCATACGTACGCCTTGGGGCGAGGCGGGGGGGACGTCAGGGAAGGGGATGGCTTGCTAGGGGTCGGTTAGGCCGCCCCTGAAAGTCACGACGACCTGTTCTTCGCAGCGCTCTGCCCCGTGGGGCACCCGCTGGGCCTCGGGACCGTCAGCACAGACGGCTTGGGACGAGGCCCGTCCTGGAGAGGTCCAGACCTCTGGGGGTCCACGTCCACATACGGCGCCCCGCAACATCTCGGCACGCCACTCACACGCATCGCGGCCCCACCGGGAGACCCACATGAGGCCGCCATGGCAAGGTCCACGCGCGGCCCCGCGCATGTCGGCACACTCCACACGCTTCGTGGCCACGTGGGGGGCTCCACCGAAGGCCACCGTCGGAGGGTCCGAAGGCGGAACCCCGCCCATGTCTGCACACTCCTCACACGCTTCGCGGCCCCCAGAGAGAGCGCCACCGATGACGACTCTCACATCTTGCTGGCTGACAAGTGCATGTGGTTCGGCCATTCGCCAGAATATCGTTTGCGGTGTGACTGGTGTACATGCTGCTGCATCTTTTTGAGGGCAGGCACGCTTATTACTCTGCTGTACTTGTACATGCTGATGTTACATATCGGATCTGCATGTGAACCACTTTCGGTGGCGGGATTTTCAGAACCTGCTAGGTGTATGCTTCCGGATGCATCGAACTGAAATGCAAAACAGAAAGGACAGGTTGTGCGCCTGATATCTTTCAGCACATATAAATATATATGTATATACATATATACATATATATTGACATGTGGACGTGGCAGGCCTCACCCCTGCGACCACATCCTGAACGGAATGTGCTTGCTACAACTGTCGCGAAGTACACATTAAGACAGTCAACTCCACAATTCACCGTGGTTGCGTTTGAAGTACCATTTGAGCTTGCAGGCCCAGAAGCAGATGCTTGCTTGATATTGAGTATCATTCAAATCTCGTTTCTCGTGCGAAATACAATTGAATCTGAAGCCTTGCAACAAAAAGGGCATGCAACTCCGAGGTCTGAGAACATCAACATGGCAATCCGCCTCGCAGTGACATAATATGTAGACCTGCCGCAGCAATCGTCAACATGTATGTTCGCCACACCACATCGTCAACATGTTCGCATTATACATCAATTTGCACATTCACATCGAAAGCAAACAACATGTGAAAGCCCGCGCGACGAAGAACAGGATGTGCAAGAACGGAGGAGGCCCCTCATAATTTAACACCTTCAGAAGGGACCGTCTTCGAAGGGAGGGCAGGGGGGAGAGGGAGGTAGGGCGGGAGCGAAGGGGAGGTTTCCTGGCCCAGGTCGGTGGAAGCGAGGAAGGAGAGGGAATGGGACGGGAGGAGGGGGAGAACGGGAGAAGGCGGTGGGAGGGAGAATGGGGCGACGAAAAGGGAGAAGGATGCAAGGAGTGGGGCCTGGAATTCCGACGTCGTGATGTTATTGCGACATGGGCACCCAGAGGTCTCACCGCCTTCCCGGGGAACGGCTCTCCGTCTTGGGATGTCTTGTTCGATGATCATCAGAACGCGTGCCAGCTCCAACGTGTGGTCCATCGAGGCCCTTCAACACGACGCAAGTGATGTGACGATGGCCGACACAGGCCGAGCGGAGTAACACACATTCGGCTAACACACGTCCTGATGATCATCGACGTTTGACGGTCCTGGGGCCCAGGAAACGCTGGAGGCCGAACAGTCTTCAAAACCCGCAGCCAGAGTTGCAGCCTCGCGCTAAGTCACGATCAGAGCCCTATACCTGATCTTGCTGCGGGAGATTCCGAGCCGGATTGATTTGTGGGTCCCCGGGGCTCAAAATCGGGCGAAAACGGCCGTCGTGAAAAAAATCGCCACGCCCAGATCAGAATGGCGTGATTTTTGCACATCGCGAAGAGGCCGGAGGAGAACAGTACCAGACACCCGATGTTTGATGATTCACTACGGGGTCCCAGGTGTCCCGACCCTCTTCCCAGGGCTGGCTATTCATCCCAAGATTTTTGACGGTCACGAGGCCCAGTGATGGCCCCCAGAGGTCGCACACGGCGACAACTCTCTGCATTCAATTCTCTCACACTTTAGAGGTCTGGAGAGTTCTCCTGGCCCAGGCCGGAGGAACGACCAGTGGGGCTCGACGTGGAGCGGGCTTCTCTTCACACTCGGTGCCGATGCATCGTCAATGCGTTGGCGATGCATCGCCAATGCATCATCGGCTGTGCATCGCCGATGCATCGGCGATGCGGAGCGACCAACCGACCCCATCCACTCGGATCCCATCTGGGTGAGCGGCCGTTATTTTCTGGTGAAGCTCGGGGATTGGGGGCGATACTGCGCCGTTACAAAAGTTCGTCACGCTTCATGAGAGCTTGAATATGGCATGGGTTTCGTGTGTTTCGTGTCTTGCTTCCGCGTGAGCGGGCGGGCAGAGTTTGGCCACTGTCCCGACCGCGCCGAGCTGGCCCCCCCTTCCCCCTAGAATCCTAGCGGACTTTTGCAACGCCGATGTGGTAGGAAAACAAAACAAAAAGCAGAAACATAAACTTAGACTTTCGGAGCTCCGCGCGGGCCTCTTAGATCGGCTTCAACCCCGACCTGCCGCGCGAAGCGCCCTCGGGGCGGCGCCGGAGGCGCCGCCAGAGGGGCCCAGCGCCGATCGGAGACATCCGCACGGGCAGTCAAAAGTTTGTACGGTTTGTTCTTGTTCGAGGCAGATCGCCTGCGAAGCCGCAGCGCACGTGTCCAGACAGGCCGGGTTCTCGAAGCCACGGCCTCACCCGCCCGGTCTGAGCTGGGCCCGCACTCCGTCCCCAGACCTCCGACGTCATGATTTTGTCACGACGTCGACCCCCAAGAGGTCTCGAGCCATTTCCTGGGACCGGCTTTTCATCCAGAATTGTTTTGTTGACGGCCCCGAGGCCCGGCGAGGACCCCCAGAGGCCGAAGGCAACGAAACACCAGCCCTGGCGATCTGTTCATGACCCCAGGGGGTCTGGGATCTGGGAGCGGTGATCGCATCGAATTAGTTAGAGAAGCAAAACAATCCATACGTACACATAAGCTTTCGGCGCTCCGCGCGGATTTCTTGGATCTGCGCGGAGCGCCGAAAGTTTATGGTTATGCAGTTTTTTTTAGGGCGTAGCCCGAATGTGTTTCTCACGAGGTAAACTGAACAACGGTTGTATTCTCCGCCGCCAAGGGCGCAACCTATGGCGCAACCGACAGGAGACGGTTGCATTCTCCGCCGCCGAGGGCGCAACCTATGGCGCAACCGACAGGAGACGGCTGTATTCTCCGCCGCCGAGGGCGCAACCTATGGCGCAACCGACAGGAGACGGCTGTATTCTCCGCCGCCGAGACCGCAACCTATGGCGCAACCGACAGGAGACGGGTTTAGTCTCCGCCGCCGAGGGCGCAACCTATGGCGCAACCCATGGGCATTCGAATGCGTGCGGGGCCACGCCCGATTTGTGCTCGCTCTCTGGGCCGGCGGCGGGGCCCGAGCGGCGAGCTGTCCCGTGCTTTCTCCTTAGCACCGCATCGCACCTCCTCCTCCTCCTCCTCCTCCTCCTCCTCCTCCTCCTCCTCCTGGTGAGGGTCTCCTGGCCCAGGCCGGTGGAACGACCACGTCACGGCCTCTGCCCGGCCGGCGCACAGCGTCTCGGCGCCCGCCCGCGAGAGGGCGCCGGCGCCCGGGGGCTCCCCCGCGGCGCGGCGCAGGCCGCCGTGCCTGGGGCCCCCGCTCGCCGCTGCGCAGGCGGGGGCGGAGCGGGAGGGATCGGGGGCGTCCAGGAGCCCAGAGCCCCTCGTGGCAGGGCAAGAATCACGGCGGACGGTTTTGTGGGAAAGAGCTCTGTACACCGACGCTGGGAAGAGCGAATCATGACGACTGGGGTCTCTGAGGGGGGTATCCACAAGGGGGGTTCGCAAAACATGGCCCGAGGCACGTGCGAGCCCCAGGGGGGAACCAGGGGTCGTACTAAAATAAGAGAAGGGGACCATGCGATCTGGGGAGATGTTATGGCCCCGGCCATGATATTCCCCCCCCCTAGTCGTCACCCCCGAAGGGAGCAGGTCAGGACCTTGAAATATCAACTTCTGGGAGGTCTTCGCAAGCACGAATGAGAACTTCTAGGACAAATGGCAGGGACATCAGGCAGGACTGGGCCAGAATAGACCAACGATGAAGCCATATTGCATGTGATTTCACAGAACTCAATTGGATTAGACTGGCTGTTGAACACGGATGTATGCGAGCGCCGATGCTGAACGTACCCTCCTGGCCAGGAGCGGCATCCGAAAGAGTGGGAGGGAGCGGGAAGGGCCCAGACACCCTCGCGTCGTGACACGAGCAACAACGACGGCAAGCTTGCAAATTCTCTGGCTCCCGGAACCGCCTGCACGACGACTCAGGATGAGAGGCTGGTCTCTGGAAGCGGGGCCCGTACTTCTGGGGAGCAATGCTTCGGTACAAAATTGTGGCGTCGGGTGGCAAAGGGAAGAAGGCACAGGAGAAGAGGCGGCATGCGGCTCTCTGCTGCAGTCACCGTGCTACCAGAAGGAGCGCTACTGAACGAGCGAGTGTGCCTCTTCAGGCCACGGCGAAACTCGGCCACGGACAAAATCCACGACCTGGACCCAAGGAGCGGCCCGCGAACCAGAGCCCCTCCCGAGCCTAATGTGGTCCCTCTCCCAGCGCCTCGAGTGTGGCTCCCTCCTTTCCTCCCGCCCCTCCCCAGTGCACGGTGGCGGCCGCCCCCTCGTGCGCGGCCACTTCGAGCAACCCGCTCCGGCTCGGGCCTCATTCCCAACCACCCTGTGGACTTGGGCCATCGTCTTGAGCAGGCCAGCCTCCTCCTCCTCCTCCTCCTCCTCCTCCTCCTCCTCCTCCTCCTCCTCCTCCTCCTCCTCGCACCCCCTTCCTTCTGCTCCCCCCTCCTCCGACCCCTGCCTTTACTCCGCAGCCCCGCGTGTCCTTGTCGGCACACCCCTCACACGCTTCGTCGCCCCATGGGGGGCTCCACCGAAGGCCCCACCGGACGCGTTCGCATGCGGCTCCCCGCCAACCGCACGACATTCCGGCACACTTCTCACATGTTTCGCGGCCCCGAGCTCCACCGAATGCCCCAGCAGCCGCGTTGGCGTGCGGTGTCTTCAAGAGCTCAAGCTTTTGTTGGAACCACGCAGCGCACGTGACGTGGCTGGGTGGGTGGGTGGGCTCGCTGGCACTTCAGTCGTGACACCTACGCTCCAGAGACTGAGTCTTGGGGTAGTAGGTGTAAGGACTGGGATCACTTTTACTGGAGACGGGGCGGCACGGGGAGGAGCACGCACATCTGCGACATCAAGAGCACATCCAAGCCAAAGAGACGAAGCTTGGACAGAGAGAGAAGGGACAACGACGAGGCCACGACGAGGCGACGGGGGACAGCGGGCCAAACTCAGGCGTGCGTGCTTAAACAGGGCTGAACCTAAACCGTGTTTTTCGTTTTCGTTTTGTTGTCATGTTTCCTCGTTTTGTCTTCTATCCGCCTTTACCGCAAAACGACATCGAAACGAAAACGGCCCACGAAATCGCCAAAACCCCGTTTAGGTTCACCCCTGTGCTTAAACCGACGCGGAGGGGAGGAGGGAGGGGGGAAGGAGGACATGCACGTCCTCCAAGGACGCCGGCAATCGCATCCTGCGGTGCGCCGGCTGTCACCGCAAGCGAACAGACTGCAACCTCCCTTCTGCCGATGCCCTTTGGGGGAAGGACGAACGAGGATGAGGAAGACAAGAATCTGCCACTCGGTTGGCCTGCACACGGGGCTGGCTGACCCACGTTTTCCTCATAGCCACATCCCCCAGGGGGCACCAGCAAGAATTTGCCACAGTGTGCACAACCACTCCGATCGCTTATGTGCAGATCGCAGCCTCCTTTCTGCCAAAATTGGAGCGTCTCGAATCTACCGTCGTTCAGACAGCGACAACCTCCCATTCTTCTTCCTCCCCCCCCCCGCTCCCGCCGCGACATGCTCAGCACATGTCCCTGACAATAGCATACTCGTGCTTGCGGTTCTGCAGCCACATGTAAACCCTACCCCTGCGGATTATATATCTGGAATAAAACGGTAGGGTTCAGAATTCGAATGGTGTTTGTAGCCAAGTGAACCCTAGCGGGGGGTGCCCGATACCCCAGCGTCGATTGGACCCGCGGGGGAGGGTGCTTCGCAAGTGGCCGCATGCCAAGAAGGCCACCAATGAGCTGCAAGGGATTCCCCAAAGACGTCCAAGAAATCCTCAAGAGGAGAAGCCTCCCAAATGACCTCAGAGGACTTGTAAAAGCATCGCCACCGCCAGCATCGCCATCATCATGATAACAATAAGAAGCACCATCACCAGGTCCGTCGTCATAGGCGTCGCCATTCTCATCAACAATCGCGTCATCGTCATCATTTCATCATGCGCAACAGCAGCACACCATCAGTATCATGGTCATCCGCATCATATCCTCATCGCCAATGTGATCGTGATCCTCAACCTGTCCACGACTCATGCACGATAGCGGGATGGACCAGATGCCATCTGTCCTCCTCTCTTCTTTCAGCCACTGTCGTGCGTTCGCCTGCAACTCTTGTGCCTTCATCCTCCCAAGTGTTGCGACGACGCGAGCGTGCGACAACGCCCAAATGCAGTTATCCCTTTTCCGCTGCATGCCCTGCTGCACTAGGTCTGCACCCACGCGCGTCACTCTGCGCCCAGCTTGAGCTCCTCACACACGCTCACTGCAAGCTTGGCGAGCACTGTGTCCTCTCATGCGGCTCAGATACGCGCCTCTGGTTCGGATCGCTAGCGATGGGGGTCCGCCAGAGTTTGACAGGGGCAGTCAAGCATGTATCCCTTGCAATGTTTCATGCGGTCTGTGGTCACGACGGGTGAGAACTGGCTAGACGATGATGATGTTGGACCAGGCAACGCTTGCACCCCGTGACTGTTGACCTTCTCACGCTCTCGTGCTCAATGTGCCCACACTGTCGCTGCGCTTGAATGACAGATACCGTCTAATGGCCCCTCGTCCATGTCGAACACCACTTCGCGCTTGAATGGATGCTGCTGATACTTGCAAGCGGATAGGCTGGCACTGGATCTGGCAAGATTGTCACGCTCCGCCAAACCATCGCCCTGGTATCCAATGAGACACGCTCACGACCTTGGCTGGACACTTCCTGTTCCCGATCTGACTGCTTGGGCAGATCGGATTGTCCCGCGGTCGGATCTGCAACAGGGGCCGACGAACCGCCGAGGTGAGTGATGATCGGGACTGCCTCAAACACGGCCAGTGTTTTGAGGCCACAAGAACAGGGCGAGTCTGAACTGTATCGAATCGCGAAACTGGATCGGGTCGAAAAGGGGTCGCATCGCCAATGGACCGTCCCGAATCGCACCGAAGCCGGCTCGCCGCGCCTGGCTCTGGCTGGGTCTGGCCGCTGCTGCTAAACCGAACACAGTGGACTCGACTCGGAAACGCGGCCCCAATTTGCGAATTGAACGGCGCTGAACGGGACGCACAAAAACAGACTAGTACTATGTGTCCTCCTTGGAGGCGCGCGCCCGACCCGAACACAAAGTACAACTATCTTGTAGGATATCGTTTACCGAGCGGTGTGGCCAGAAAACACCAGCCACGACGCATTTACTATAAGATTTCTCGATGCGCGAGTCGCCCCTGGGGGGGCGACGCACATATAGTATTAGCATGTTGGGGCGACGCCGATTGAACCTGATTGCAAGCGGCCCTGACAAGGTCTTGCTGACAGGTTCCAATCCGGCGTGCCGGACACCCAGCGTTTTCGAAACGCCCTGGCGGAGATATCTGCCCCCCAAAGGCCTTCCCGAAAGCGGCCCCCAGCGCTCGCCCGACCGGTCGCCGAGCTGTTCGATACTTGGCGTTGCACTGACGAGGCGCTGCTGACCCAGGAGGAGCGGTAGGGAGAAGCGGACTCGACTAGACTCCCCCCCTACGGCGCCATGTCATCAATATGTCTGGAGGTTGAAAGCTGTTGCAGAGAAAATGCCCCAATCGGTGGCCACTGGCTGGCATGGTTTCCCCGCCGAGAAGGCCGGTCGGTGCGCAGACCCTGGGCGCAGACCCTGGGCCCGAGGAACTTCCCCGACTCCGCCCAGAGTCCCAGGCTCCCGAGGGAAGCAGCGTGCAGACGGACGAGGGCTCCACTGTGCCAGCGCAGTGCAAGCCACAGCGCCTTTCCACCACGCCTGTCTCTGGCCCGCGGCGCCAAGAGCAGACTCAGCACGCCAACGAAGCTGGCCAAGATGGAGCTATGAAGTTGAATTGTTGCTCCAGTCCTGCTCTTTCTGAGCCAAGACTGTGGACGCCTACCTTCTGCGATGGTGCCCAAACTCCCTCTGGCCTGCGGGCCGCGGGCCGCGGGCCGCAGCCCCTGACCCAGGCCGAAGGGAAACAAACCTGCGATTGTCGCTTCTGGCCGCCTTCGCGTTGCCAGGGCGGCGGGCGCATGTCAAGCCCGGAGGCTGCACAAAAACGCCAAGCAAACCGGATGCGGTTGGTCTTTCCTCCCCTGAGGGTGAGTCGCGGGGTGGGTCGCGGGTGGGTCGCGGGGTGGGTCGCGGGGTGGGTCGCAGATGGGTCGCGGGGTGGGTCGCGGGGTGGGTCGCGGGTGGGTCGCGGGGTGGGTCGCGGCGCGGGTGGGTCGCGGGCGGGTCGCGGGTGGGTCGCGGGGTGGATCGCGGGTGGGTCGCGGGTTGGGTCGCGGGTGGGTCGCGGGGTGGGTCGAGGGCGGTCGCGCGTGGGGCGACGACAACAAACAACAAGGGAACGCCGGTTTTCTGAGCCCCTTCCAATGGGGCGAGCTTCCCCGTCGCCTCCCACGGGAGGCACGCCGGGTTTCTGACGCCCCCTCTGGGGAAAGGGGGGGGGGGCACTGCGTCGCATCGCGCCGGCTTCCGGGCCAGCCCCCACTGGGAATCGACTAGATTGCCAGATCCCATCGAAGAGGCTAAGGCGCCTGCAAACGCCGAGACTTCCCAGGCCACGTCGCCCCCGCGCAAGCTCGGCGGCATCTTCGAAACCCACAATGGGGAATCCCTACTGGCCCTACTGAGGAACCTTTTTCACTCAATACTTCGGACAAAAAGAACTTTAGTCAGGAATTTCGAGGAAAACAACCTTACTACATAATCCTGCCTGGGGGACTTTAGTCAAGAATCCTCACTAAGGGACTCTTATTCAAAACTCCATATTGGGAGAACCTTTTATTAACATGCCTTACAACGGGAATAATGCTCAATAATCCGGATTTAGGGAACCCTAAAACATAGCCTATACTATAGGAGCCTCATTCAAGCGTTCTTCCAAAGAGAATCCGAATGTATAATCCTGATTATGGGGGTCTCACTTAAAAGTTCTTACTGCGAGAAGCCCCATACAAAAACCTTCATATGGGAGTATCACTCAGAAGTTCTTACTGAGAAAACCTGTATCAATGGCGAATCCTTACTGCAGGGCTCGCACTCAAGATCCCTTACTAAGAGCACCTTCGTAAGGAGCCTCTACTGCGGAAGCCCTGCGCAAGTCCTCACTGCGGGAAACTGAATTAAGAAATCGAAGCATGGGAATATTACTCACGACTCCTCCTGGAGAAGGCTTGAATGAAGATTCCTTACTACTTGACTCTTACTCAAGAGTCCTTACTAACAACACCTTACAACATAAGCCTTTCTACGGGACTCCCTCTCAAGAGCCCTTGCTAAGAGTGCCTATATTAAGAGGCTGCACTGCGGGAGCATGACTCAAGAGTCCTTACTAAGAAAACATTAACGCAGAATTCTCACCACGGGGCTCCTACTCAAGAGTCCTTACTAAGAGTACCTAACTGCAGAATTCTTACCACGGGACTCTTACTCGAGGTTCCTTGCCGACAGAACCTTGCTGAAGAAAACGGACTGCGGGATTCTCGCTCAAGAGTTCTTGCCATGAGAACCGCACTACAACATTCTTACCATGGGACTCCCACTCAAAAGTTACTACTCAGAGAACCTGAACGAAGAAACATCACTGTGGGACTATTACTCACTACGGGAATATTGCTCAAGATTTCGTATCCAGAAAATTCCTTTCTATAATTTGTCCGATGGGAGTCTTACTCAAGAGTCCTCGCTAGGGGAACCTTGATGAAGAATCCATACTGCGGGACTCTTACCAAGAAGTCCATACTAAGAAACCTTGATACTGAAGCCGCAGCACGGGAATATGACTCCAGAGTGCGTATTCAGAGACCCCGAAAAACGAATCCCCAAACAGAACAAAGTCCGACTCATAATCCATGCGAAAAAAACGGAATGCAGAAACCTTATGACATGACTATCACTCAAGTGTCCTTACTCACAGACCATTGATAATGAAGCCTTACGTACTACGGAAATATTGCTCCGGAGTCCTCACGAAACGCCCTCGCTGCTCGGCTAACCATCGCCCCTCGCCCCCCTCAGAGCGCGCGTCCTACATCCCTCCGCCCTCCCCGCTCACGCCCTCCATCATCGCCATCCTCATCGTCATCGTCGTCAGCAGCAGCACCGCCCTTATTATTACCACCACCAGCAACATCATCTTGCAATCATCATCACCACCATCATCAGCATCATCATCATCATCAGAACCGCCATCACTATCAGCAGCATCACCACCATCATCATCAGCAGCAGCACCCCCATCAACATCACCATCACCAGCAAACTCACCATCCTCATCCCCGTCATCGTCGTCGCCATCAGCATCATCACCACCATCACCACAATCATCATCGTCGTCGTCGCCGTCGCCATCATCATCATCATACCATCCATCGGCAGAATCATCGCCACCATCATCACCACCATCATTACCAGCATAGTCAGCGCTATTTTCAGCGTGGCCGCCACCACCACCCCTGTCATCACCATCAGCAGCATCAGCAGCAAGAGCCGCATCATCGTCGCCATCGCCATCACATCATCATCATCATCATCATCATCATCATCATCATCATCATCATCATCATCATAACCAACATCAGCGGCATAAACAACATCATCATCACCATCGTAGGTGTTAGCATCGCCCTCGTTATCGTCATCAACGTCACTATCGTGGTCGTCATCATCGTAACCATACCTACCCGTGCCACTGGAAGCAACAACCTCACCACCGCCATCGTCATCACAACCATCACCATCATAGCCAAACTATCGACATAAACCTCGCCAGCCGCATCAGCAACAGCATCATCACCAATCTCGCCAGCACAATCACAATCGTCGTCCGCATCAGCAACACATGCACCGTCATCACCATCATCATCATCATCAGCATCATCATCACCATCATCAGCAACAGCACCATCATCATCATCATCGACATCACCAGTCGTGACATATTCAACGCTGGCATCGCCACCATTACCATCATAATCAACATCAACATCAGCATCATAAACATCATCAGCATCAACATCGCCATCATCAGCATACTCATCATATCCATTAGTCGCATTCCCATCACCACTGTCGTCATGAGAATCGTGACCATCATCAAGGGCATCAACAGAAACATGCGCGCCACCATCTTCACCCCCAACATCATCAACAATTTCGTGATTCAAGGTCACTAGGGGCACCATCATCACCACCGTCTCAAGCGAGGGATCGCTATGAAATAAAGAAGGAGAGATAGAGAGAGAGAGAGAGATACATAAAGACATAACAACCGTCGGGCGAGAGCTCGACTCCTGAGTACAGTGCACGGCAGGCTTGAGCGAGAACTCTGTGCTAGAGCGTGTGAGCGGGCAAAAAAGAGCGCACTTACTGGGCAAATCGCGCAGATGTTTCAACGAAAACGCGATTCATTAAACGATTGGAAGTCCCCGCGGATCCGTTGGAACCTTGCTGTATCCCGAGGAATCCATCGGTCTCCGTCGGGATCCTCTGAAACCCAGAAGGGTCCGAAAGACCCCTCTAGAGCCCAGCCGAATCCATGGGAATCCGAAACCGCTGGGATTTCACAAAAATCCAATGGAATCCGCGGGCCACCCGAAGAACCTTCAGAAATCCCCTGGACCCCTAGCAGAATCCTGAGGGATCCCCAGGAATCTCTTGGAATTCATAACACCCCGCACACATCCGTAGGAACCCCTTGGAATGCCCAAGATTCTCCCGGAATCCAAACGGACCCCCGAGAATCCAGGAACGTCAAGGATCTCATCGGAATCTCGCAGGCGCGGCGCCCCCCCCCTCCCCCCGATGCGACGCGATGCCCCCCCCCGCCTGCCCGGGGGGGCGTCTGAAACCCGCCGTTCTCAACGACAACAGCAAGAACGACAACAACGCAACAAACTGATTTCCCACCACGAACTCCTTATTCAGCCACGCGCCAGAAAGACAATGAATGACCGTTCGGCCCCCTCACTGTGATGAGTGTATATATATATATATGTGTATATATACACATACATATACATATAGATGTACACGCGTGCATCGACATAACCTACGCAAGATTTGAGGGCTCGCTTCGCTTCGCATCTATATTGGCCCTGCGCCCATGCACCCCCGACCATTCGGTGGACGGATGTTTCATGAAAGCAGATGCTGGCGACGAGGGGGGCCATGATCGTCATCCTGAAGCGGGCCACTGGCGCGCCTATGGCTGGGACAGGGAGAAGGGCATCAGTTTGACGGGGCGAAAGTCACGCATGCGAGGTGGAAGGACATGGCGACCGCGAAGGCGGGTGACGTTCAAGGAGCAGCGCCGTGGACGTCAGCGGAGCAAACGCAGGCGCGACAGGGGCGGCGAGGACGAAGAGAAGGAGGGGGGCGAGGACGACGAGGACGGGCGCGACGAGACAGACGGCCCCACAGTCGTCAGAAAACAGAAAGAAAATGTGATGACAGACTGCGCTTCCACGTCGAGACAGCTGACGCGACGACAGCGAATCGGGCGCGCGCGGGTCACGAGTTCGAAAAACCCATGCGTGGATAACCGGAAACTTGCACAGTGGAGGACCCCAAAGACATTGAAAATTCCGGCCTCTCGACGCGCCCGTCTGGGGCCGCGGGCGAGCGCTGGAGCCTGGCCTGGGCCGTCCTGGCGTCTTCTTGGGGTGGGGCATCCTGGAAGCATCTTGGGGCGAAGAATTGGAAATGTCGTCTCGCGCCCCCCTCTTGAACCCATCTTTTTGTTTCGAACATCTTGCTGTCGGGGTCTCTGGCAAAATGCATTGCGTTGCAAGAAGGCTGATTCGCCTGCTGTCAGAACCAGCGTTGAGCTTGCCCTGCAGTCGCTAGAGCTTCTCTGCTTGCTGGGGGATCTTCTCGGCCATGTCGGCCTCGCTGGCGGCCCCTGGCGCGGCCAGCCCTGGGCCGCGAGAGGGGGGCCATTCTTCTGGCAGCTTCCTCCGTTCTTTCATGATCATGCGTCTTATCTGTTCCTGCAAGGATGGGGCCACCATGATCAGGCCCCTCGTCCCCCCACTCCCCATGCACAAGGACACTTCGTCAGCCACCTCGTCGTCGGCGCCAGTCGGGC